TGGGCACAGATACATCATTGCCTGGTTGATGTCGTGCTAAAACCCTTCAGTATTTTTAACTCAGCATCAGTACTGAGTCTTCTCTTTGCTCTTAACTCAGCATTAGTACTGAGTTTGCTCTTTTGAGTCCCTTATTTTCTCTCTGTATTTTGCCTAACTTCAGAATAAAAACAAAAGCAAACACACAAAATATTTGAATAGAAAATACTTCCTACAACATGCAATTTCTTACTAAGTTCGTTTTCAATTGACAAGTGGACAGATTTACAACAGACAAAGAAAAGAAAAACGAAGAACAAAACAACCTTTCTCAATTTATTCTAAAATCAGAGGAGATCAATCATTATCCCCCTCTTCTTCCTCTTCTTCATTTGCTTCTCCTTCTTTTTCTTCTTCCTCTGCTGCCTCATCTTCTTCTCCTTCTGCTTCTTCTTCTTCAGATGCTGCAGCCTTGTTCTGGCCTTCCTCCTGTTCAGGAGCTTTGAGAAAACCAAGTTGAGATAGGATGAAATTGTCCATGTTATTCAGTTTGTCCATGATTTCTTTCCTGGTTTTCAACTGGTCGTCCTCAATCTTCTTCAGTCTGTCTTCAATCCTCTTCAGCCAGATTGGATTTTCTTCCACTGCTACTGTGGAGGTTGATGCTGCAGCATTCTTTCCTCGTGATTTTGGTGAGGATATAGTTTCTCCAGCAAGCACCTTTGCCTTCTTGCTGACCCTTTCAGTGGTGTAGGGTGTGATTGGTTCTGTGATCTAGAACCGTTCCTCATCATCAGCAATGGGAACATTGGCTTCTTGGCATAACTGGGTGATCAATCCAGGGAAGAACAGGTAACCAAAATCAGCTTTGGAGTAAGCCATAATTTCGGCTTGAATAATTCGCCCACATCAATGGGCCTTCCATCCAGAATACAAGAGAGCAATATTGCTCTTTCCTTGTGCACAGTTTCAGTGTGGGAAGTAGGCTTTAGCCTACTTTTCAAAAAATGGTACCACACCCTTGCTTCGGGTTTCAGTGCACTTCTCAGAAAGGAGAGACTCTTTTGGGCCGACTCATTCCATGTCGTCCCTTCCACACACAAGTCCTCAAGGACCTGTTTCAGAAATTTCTCATCATTGGTGGTCTTCAGACCTTGATATTCATCCACAATGGTGGGCAATTGGTACACCTTCTTGATGGTAGCACTGCTAAAGGACACACTTGTTCCTCTGACCATCACCTTGGTCAATTTGCTCTGGAGCATGTTGGCGTAGAATTCCCTAACAATAGAGATTACTGCTTCATCTTCATGGAGACAGAATTTCCCCCATTGATGTGCATCGATGATGTTGGTGATGTATGGGTCATATGCCCCAACATCGATGCTGACTTGTACGAAACCTCTATCAGAGAAGAGATTCCTCTTCATCATAACCTCATGCCTCTGTACAGCCCGTGCATTGATGAAGGTGGGTATGGCTTCCAATTTCTTAGGGGTGCCAGAGTGCTTTACATTCATACCCTTAATTTTTCCACTCCTGGTTGATGTTCCCTCCATTGCTAGGACTCCAAACTCAGATGTTTGCTATCAGTCGTGATTGACAATGGGGACTCCAAACTCAGTTTCTTGCTTTGGCTCTTTGGAACAATCTGAGGTTTCCTTTAGGATTGAGAGAGAGTGAAGATGAAGAGAAAATGGGTACCTTTTTGCACGATCAGAGAGGGGATAAGGATGCAGGGATGTTGGCAGCTTTTTATAACTACTTCATGGCCATTTGCGGCATTCCCATTGGCCCACTGCTCAACTGCAGGGCATGATAACCTCTCTCCTCCAACGTTCCAGTTTTAAATGCTCAACGGTCATGTTGGGTTAATCAGCAAAACCCACGCTGTAGCATCATTGGGCTTTTCCTGCTTTTGCAGTGGCCTAGTGCGGCCTAATTTCTTCCTAGCCCACAGCTCCTTTGTTATAGCCTGTGATGATGTTGTGTCATTACTACAGCGTTGATTTTCCTTCCTTTTTCCTATCTGCTCCCAAAAATTAAGAACTTAGAATCAAAACACATGCTTCCTAATTGAAAAAATTAATGAAAAAGCTTAATTAAATCAAAATGAATTGTTAGTATCCTAGGGCTGCCTCCCTAGAGCGCTTGATTTTAAGTCTTCAGCCTGACTTGCTCTTTCTTGGACTCAATTAGGTTCTCCCAAGTCCTTGTCTGCATGTCCTCCCCAATAATGCTTAAGTCGTTGGCCATTAACTTTGAATGTGTCTCCCCCATTTTCACTCATCACTTCAACAGCTCCATGTGGGAATGCTTGGACCACTCTAAAAGGTCCTAACCACCTTGACTTAAGTTTTCCTGGAAATAATTTGAGTCTTGAATTGAATAATAGCACTTGCTTTCCTTGCTCAAAGCTCCTATGCAAAATATTTTTGTCATGCCATTTTTCATCTTCTCTTTATATAACTTGGCATTTTCATATGAGTCCAGCCTGAATTCATCAAGCTTATTAACCTGCAGCATTCTGTTTTCCCCTGCTGCTTTAGCATCCAAATTCAGCTTAGTTATTTCCCAATAAGCACTATGCTCCAGCTCCACAGGAATATGGCATGCCTTCCCATAGATAATTCTGAATGGTGATGCACCTAAGGCAGTCTTGTATGCGGTTCTGTATGCCCATAAAGAATCATCCAACCTCAGTGACCAATCTCTCCTTGTAGGATTCACCACTTTCTCCAATATCCTCTTGATTTCTCTATTGGATACTTCAACCTGCCCACTGGTCTGAGGGTGGTATGTTGTAGCAATCTTGTGTCTAACCCCATACTTTGCTAATAGATGTTCAAATTGTTTGCTGCAAAAATGGGATCCTTCGTCACTGATAATTGCCCTTGGTGTGTCGAACCTTGTGAAGATGTTCTTTTTGAGGAATTTCCAGACAACCTTTGAATCATTGGTGGGTAGTGCCATGACTTCCACCCATTTGGACACATAGTCCAAAGCCACTAGAATGTATTGATTTCCAAATGATGGTGGGAATGGTCCCATGAAATTCAGCCCCCTAACATCAAACAGTTCCACCTCAAGAATAGGGTTAAGGGGCATTTCATGCCTTCTTGACACATTTTCAGTCCTTTGGCATCTATCACAACCTGAAACAAAAGAGTGTGAATCTTTAAAAATGTTAGGCCAGTAAAAACCAGATTGTAAAATATTTGCTGCAGTTCTGATTCCAGCATAGTGGCCTCCATATGGAGATGAATGACAATGCTCCAATATGGCTTGTATTTCTCCTTCAGGTACACATCTTCTTATGATTTGATCAGGGCATCTCTTGAATAGGTATGGTTTATCCCAAAGATAGTATTTGCAATCATGGATGAACTTCCTCCTTTGCTGTGAACTCATGTTGTTGGGCAGAATTCCACTCACTATGTAGTTTGCAATGTCAGCATACCATGGTGCTGGAGCAATGGTAATTGCAAAAAGCTGCTCATCTGGAAATGCATCCTTGATTTACTCTTCAGGCTTATCCGCTTTACCTTCATCCAACCTTGATAAATGGTCTGCCACTTGATTCTCTGTGCCCTTCTTGTCTTTTATCTCCAAATCAAATTCTTGTAGCAAGAGCATCCACCTGATTAGCCTCGGTTTCGAGTCCTTCTTATCTACTAAGTACTTGATAGCTGCATGGTCAGTATAAACAGTCACTTTAGCACCAAACAAATTAGATCTGAATTTTTCAAAAGCATAAACCACAACCAATAATTCCTTTTCAGTGACTGTATAATTGAGCTGAGCTTATGTGAGTGTTTTGCTAGCATAATAAATGGGATGAAACACTTTGTTGTGTCTTTGTCCCAACACTGCTCCAATAGCATGCTCACTAGCATCGCACATCATTTCAAATGGTAGACTCCAATCAGGGGCTACTATGATAGGTGCTGTGACCAGTTTCTTTTTCAGTTCTTCAAATGCTTCCTTGCAATCTTCATCTATAATGAATGGTGCATTCTGCTCCAGCAATCTACAAAGTGGCCTTGAAATTTTTGAGAAGTCTTTGATGAATCTTCTGTAAAATCCAGCATGCCCCAAAAAGCTTCTGATCCCTTTCACATTAATAGGTATGGGCAGCTTCTCAATCACTGAAACCTTGGCTTTATCCACTTCCAGCCCTTCCTTTGAGATCTTGTGACCCAAGACTATGCCTTCTCTAACCATGAAATAACACTTCTCCCAATTGAGTATGAGATTAGTGTCTTCACATCTCTGAAGTACATCTGATAGGTTGGCAAGACATGAAGTAAATGACTCCCCAAAAACTGAGAAATCATCCATGATATTTCCACAAAGTCTTCAACCATATCTGTGAATATAGCCATCATACAACGCTGGAAGGTTGCTGGAGCATTACACAGGCCAAATGGCATCCTTCTGAATGCAAAGGTGCCATAAGGGCAGGTGAAAGTAGTCTTGTCCTGGTCTTCAGGTGCTATATCAATCTTATTATAGCCTGAGTACCCATATAAGAAACAGTAGAACTCCTTGCTTGCAAGTCTATCCAGCATCTGATCAATGAAGGGCAAGGGAAAGTGATCCTTCCTTGTTGCATCATTCAGTTTCCTATAGTCCATGCAGATTCTCCATCCTGTTACAGTTCTTGTAGATATCATCTCATTATTTTCATTCTCCACTACTGTAATTCCTCCCTTTTTAGGGACACATTGGACTGGACTCACCATTGGCTATCTGAAATAGGGTATATCACTCCAGCATCTAGCCATTTTATGACTTCTTTCTTCACAACTTCCTTCATCATAGGATTCAGCCTCCTCTGATGTTGTACGGTACTACTATAGCCTTCGTCTAGCAAAATTTTGTGCATACACAGTGATGGACTTATGCCTTTTATGTCAGCAATGGTCCACCCCAATGTTGTTTTGTGTTTCTTCAAAACCTCTAGCAACTGTTCCTCTTGCAACGTGGTCAATTGAGATGAGATTATTACGGGAAGAATGTCATTTTTTTTCCAAGTATGCATATCTCAAATGATCAGGCAGTGGCTTAAGTTCTAGCACTGGTGGTTCCTCAGCTGAAGGCTTTGGTGGTTGAGTCTTTCTTCCTGGCAAGTTCAGAGATTCAAAGTGTCTTGCTCTGAATGGCATCACTGGTTGGGCATCAATCCAAGCTAGACATGCTTCTACCTCCTCTTCATCAATTGCACCTTCTTCTGCTATAGCAACTTCTAAGGGCTCCTTCTCAATTTCTGTCTCCTGTTGCTGTAGCAGCTCTTCATCAGCATCTTTTATTGCAGCACACTCCTTCTTTTGACTTGGATACTTCAAGGCATTTAACACATTGAAAGTTATCTGCTCATTATTGACTCTCATAGTCAGAGCTCCTTTTTCAACATCAATAAGAGTTCTTCCAGTAGCTAGGAATGGTCTACCTAAGAGCAAAGGTACCTCCCTATCTGCTTCAAAAGCAAGAACAATGAAGTCAGCAGGAAATATAAATTTATCCACTCTTACTAACACATATTCAATTATTCCTTCTGGGTAAGTGATGGATCTGTCAGCAAGCTGTAGGGTGACAGTGGTTGGACGTGCTTCTCCAATTCCCAGTTTGGTGAAAATACTCTTGGGCATAAGATTGATGGATGCACCAAGATCACATAGTGCCTGCCCAACATAGGTGTTACCAATTGAGCAAGGGATTGTGAAAATCCCTGGATCCTTCAATTTAGGTGGTAACTTGTTCAAGAACCTGTTACTTTCTTGAGTGAGAGCTACTGTCTCATATTCCTTGACTCCCTTTTTTCTTGACAAAATGTCTTTCATGAACTTTGCATAGCTAGGCATCTGTTCAAGAGCCTCTACCAATGGAACATTGATATGTAATTGCTTCAGCACGTCCATGAACCTTTTGAATTGCTTGTCATCTTGCTGCTTATGAAGCCTCTGAGGAAAAGGAGGTGGTGGTCTACTTGCTTTGTCAGCAGGCTGACTATGCTGCTTTCTTACTGCAGCATTCTGTTCTGGACTTTTGGTCTGTTTGTCAACCTGTTGCTCTCCAATTTCTTCTTCCACAACAACCTGCTCTACTTCGTTCTGGCCTTCTGACTCCTTCATCTTGTGGTAGTCTTTAATATGGTCTGGTTCATCTACAGCCTTTCCATTCCTTAATGCTATAGCCTTGATCTGCTCTTTTCCTTCTCCCCTTGGATTTTCAGTGTTGCTAGGCAGTGTGCCTACAGGTCTGCTCCTCATGGCATCAGCTAACTGCCCTACTTGATTCTCCAAGTTCTTTATTGATGCTGATTGACTCTGAATAGTAGCATCATTCCTTGTAATGAAGTCTTTCAGCATATTTTCCAACGAACTAGAGTTGTCAAATTGTTGTCTAGTTTGTTGGTATTGCTGTTGCGGCTGCTGTTGTTGCGGCTGTTGCTGCTGAAATGGTG